AAACAGGCCGATCTCCAACATCTATAAACAAAGGAGTTGATGGCAGCAGCAAAGCTGATATTTCTCTCCCGGATGGAGTCACAGCCAAAGAGGAAGAGACCAGATGAAGCTACTATGAGAAAAAGCAGAGAGAGCAGAACATTGGATATTGAACTAACAGATTCTGCAGAGTGGGAGAACAGAGATAGAATGAAGCATAATGATAAAGGAGGGTTTCTATGTCCTCCAGAAGTCTTTTATCTTCCTCAAAGGACTGACTGAGTGACTAAATGAGAGGAATTACCACCCATGTCTATAGCTCAACAGTTTTTGACAAAAGATACGACCCAGGGACGCTTTGGTCGGGTCTTCTAGCCAAAATGAAAGTTGGAAGAAAGTCCCAGTAAGGATAGCTGTATATGACTGGGTTTGTGTGTGTGTTTGTGTGTCGAACCTTCTTATTGATCTTCACACTCTTTGAAGATGAGTCAAAGGGACGGCTTGCAGTCCCCCTTGTTTATTGACTGGCTTGCTGTGGTTGACTTGTGGATGAAATGGAGACAGAATTGGTAATGTGGCCAGAGTTCTTATCGATTCCTTTTTGTTCTGAAGAGAATCTGCCATACTAGAAACTCTGGCTGTTAGCTGTTACAGTGTGTCTGGTATTCGCTCCCTTGAATTATTGATTCCTTTGGACTTTTTTGTGTATCTGTGAAGAACCTTTGAAAATAAGGCAAAGCATGTGCTTTCTTTCATTAAGTCTCTATCTCTGTCAAAGGTCAAAAAGAACGAAAAAAAAATTGCCCAAATGAAATATGTTTCTTTTTCTTTTTTTTACTTTTTAACTGCAAGAATGTTTTTTTTTTTACCTTCATTTTTAAGAGTTTGCTTGTAGCTTATTTAATCGCACTAGGTCAGGACTGGATCAACACTTCTGTACAAGAACATACAAGTGCATCCATTTATTTTCTGAAAACACCTTCAGCAATATCTATCTATATATGTACACATTATAGTGGCTTACATAAGTATTCATACCCTTTGAACTTTTTCACAAAGTGGTATACATCTAGAGCAGGGACAACCGCAAAATGTTCAAAGAGCCATATTGGATCAAAAAAAAAAAGAAGAAACATTTAAAAGGCTTATATAAGCCTCTTATGGGCTCTAAGTGTATATTAGCTCACTATCAAATTGAGTAAGTAGGCTTAAATACGCAAAAATCTTCATGATTAAATTATTATTTCCCTGCAACGCATCCTGGAGAAAATAACATAATGTTACTAATCTGCTGTACGGTATTTGAGTTTTAAGTTAAGATTCTATTACACTATTAATGTATTTGACACATCGTATTATAAAAATATGATAAAGAAATCAGATTTTTGGGGTTATTTTTATTTTGAGGATTGATTAAAAAAAATGCAATATGCATAATAGGACTAATTTCAAACCTCCACGTGGAAATTAAATGCAGTCCCCTGAAAACTACAGTAACAATCCTTTTTCCCCTTATCGGGTAACAGTGAAATAAAACGCAGCATAAGGTAACAAAAATCAGCCAGTATAATTTAAAGGAAAAGTCCGATCAGCAAGGAATAATCAATGGATCATTATTTATACCTAAAACTAATACATACATGTTTAGGGCTGCTGTTCTGCTGAAAGGTGAACCTTGACTCCAGCATCAATTGTTATTGTTAAAACACTTTTTTTTTTTTAAGTACAGTATATTATTGTTACTTTTGAACTCTTCACCATTGTATCATTCTTATACATTTTCTAAGGTTCACATTTGTTTGACCATTTTTTCTATAATCTTTTTGGTGATGTAAACACCAGAATTTCCCCATTGTGGGAAAATAAATGGATCTTCTATACTATTCTATTCTAAGTATTTTGCAAACTTTAAAGTTTTTTTTCCAAAGTTGCCCTGAATTTGGTTCCATCCGTACCATCAACTCTGACCTTCTTCTATGTCCATGCTGAAAAGAAGCAACCCCAGAGAATGATGCTGCCACCACCATATCTAACAATGGGGATTGTGTTTTCTTCTAGTGTTGTACAGATGTTAGTACTCTGACCCATAGTTTTGCTCTTTGGCCAAAAAGTTCAATTTTGCGAGCTGGACTTGTTATGTTTTTCTTTTAACAATGTTTTTCTTCTTGCTCTTACTTTTCCACTGCACTTTTGTGCACTTTTTGTGACTAATGGTAGTTTCCCTGTAGACAGATTTCCCCTTCTTCATGCAGAGACATCATGGGTGTCTTGGCTGCATCTCTGATCAGTGCTCTTCTTGTTTGGGCTGTAAGTTTGGGTGGAATGACTTGTCATTGTAGATTTACAGCCGTCTCAAACTCTTTCCGGTTCCAGATGATGGACTGGTATTTCTCCCTGAGACGTTTAAAGCTTGGAAATCTTTTTATAGCGTCAACTGGGTTTAAACGTCTCTGCAACTTATTTGAACTGAGATTAGATCGCCCACAGGTGGGCTCTCTTTAATCATTAGCAATCACTTCTAAAAGCAATGGGCTTTATGCACAACTCATCTACTTCCTGAACTTAAGGCAGCTCATTTGTTTTCTGTCTTTCTCCATTGGATGATCTGATTAATCTAGGGGTGCCTGACTTCAGTAAGAATGGCCAGACATACCTGGATTAATTAGTCAATCCAGTAATATAAATCAGGAAACAAAGGAGCTGCACTGCAAAAATGGAAATCTAAATAAGTCATTTTTTCTTAAACTAAATGCATTTGTTCTTGAATTGAGGAGGTAAGTGAGACACTTTGCCAATGGAACAAGACAATTTACATTTAAAATAAGAAAAAGCAAATGCATTGTCTTATTTCAAGTGGATATTATCTAATAATCTTATTTTAAGAGTAAAAATACTCATTCCATTTGCAAATCATCCCATTGACCTACTAAAATGAATGGTAAATACGCTTGATTTAAGACATTTTAACTTATTTCTAGACCATTTTTGCAGTGAGGATGTAGTGGAATTGTGCATAGAGACCATCTGATGGACTCAGGGAAAAAGGGGTTGAATAATTTTCCACAGTTCAGTGGAAAAATATTGTGTTTTATGTAAAAACTGTTTTAAATCATGTATAATATTAACGTATAATCCAGCAACCTGGAAACGTACCAATCTAATTATGAAATTTTTGTGTATGTAAACATAACTTCTGTCACTCCTCACACACACTTTTTGTAACTGAAGCTCAGAAGCTTCCTGCCAGAGGGAATCTGGCCTCTACGTGTGATCAGCTGCAGCTTTCAGGTATCAATTCCAGAATAATCAGTAATTTAGTAAAAATCTATTCTTCTGATAGAGTTATAAAAGTAGACTCCCTGTACAAAACAGATGTTAATTGTTAGAACAGAGTCATTTATCCATCTGGTCTGTTATTTTGAATCCATTTAATCCTCCGGGTAACTTTATGGAGAAAATTTCTACTTAAATCAACATTTGAACCTGTTTTGATCAGTTTTTGCACAAAATAACAGCTACTACAAGTATAGATATATATACACACACACACAGAGTAAAACAGCAGTTTACAAAGTCTGAACTCTAGTAAACAACAGAACAAAGAGTGAATAGGGAGCTCTGAACCAGAGCAGATCACACGCTGTAATATCAAGTCTTTTTCTCCAGCCATCTGGCGGTAACATCCAAATTTAGATGCAAGCCCAGCTCGTCTTCCTCCCTGCTACGTCCATAAGGGGGTTTTAGTTCCAGGAAAAGATGGGACCGAGACGTGAAATTTATTAACATCTATTTATCTCCAAAGCTTTCATGAAGAAGAAAAAAAAAAACCCTCAATTCATGCTTATCTCAAGCTCGGGCTGGACGCTCAAGTCTTCTTTTCTCTCAGTAAACTTTTATCTCTGCGTATGCCAGTCAAAGCTTTATAACTGAACTTGTTAGTCGATTTTTTTTTTTTTTCTGTCTGATTTCTCTGTCTTCCACTTCACAGAGTTCCTGAGAGAGGAAGTGGTTGTTCTCCTCACAGCCCAGTTCATCACTCTATTCAACCAGACAGCGCTGGAGGTGAGAGCAGTATCCATGTACATCGATCAGCCAAAGTTTCCAAACGTCCTGCTCAGTTCTGCTCTCTTTACTCAGGGCTAAATCAGAAGTGAATCCCTCTGTGGAAAGACTCAAAAATCTTTATTTTTCTAAATCCTTAATGCGATTAATACTTGATAAAAGTGGACTCTCCTTTTCTCAAAAGTATATGGGTGTATCGTTGGAAATAATAACTCTCATGGTTGCTTGTGTAAGAAATTAGATGAAGGAAAATTTGACCATTTGACCATGGATCGTAAAACTCTAGTATTCGTCTAACTATGAACTATGAATTGTTGGGGACACTATATTAGATAGATAAACTTTATTCCGGACCCATGGTCCAATAAATACATACATTAAAAATAAAATAAAAATAGTTAATGATAAAAACACAAGGATCTTTAAGAAGACAGGAATACCAGTGTCTCCACAGCTTAGACTGATATCGGATTGCACTTCGTGTGGTATCAGTGAGTGACAAAATAATATCGTTTTCAGATGCATTTAACCTACAAATAAACTTATACATTAACTTTCGTAAAACAGCTTGTAGGGTATTGACTCTTGCTGTGACAAACATCTTACTTGCACTGGACCATCTTGGATGTTTCAAAAGTAACTGCATAGCATCATTATAGGCCACCTGCAGCCTTTGCAGGTTGATTTTTCTATATGTAGTCCACAGGTGAGCAGTGTACAGAGAGGTACAATATGCATTAAACAGTTCCACTTCGACTTTATCAGTACATGAACCGAATTTACGAGCAAGGGTATTAGCTTGAGCATACAACAATCTACATTGTCTACAAATATCATCGTCTGACAGATTTTCTGTGTTGATGTGCCCAACATACTTGGTTTTGTTTTTTGTTTTTTTATTTTTCAGCAAACTATATTGTTTGCTGAAAAAAAAATTGTAACAATTGAGCAAAAAAAAGTATAAATTTGTCAAAATCTAAAGTAGAAGATGAACTCATGTGATTTTCCAAACATAAAAAAGTAAACCTGATATTTTGAATTCTGGAGGTAGCACGAACCTATCAGAACATTAGTTCCAAGTGAGAATCATTTAGATTAAAAAGATTTTTCCTGAAATGCTTTGCAAAGGGGAGAACAGTATCAATCTCTGCATCTCCGCTTGGCTCAACACTTGCCAGGCTTTTTATTGAGCAGTCAACACGTTACAACAGCAGGCGTTAGCTTCGATTACGCAATCTCTTAGACATAGCATGAACTTTTAAGATAGGGAACTTGCCTGGTTTCAGTATACGTTTTACACAAGGTGTCGGGGTTATGAACTTCCACTTCTGTGCTTCTCAAATGAAAAACAGGAAAGCATTCTTGCAAAACATTTGAACATCTTATGGCCTTCATACACCATTTCCAATGATGAGAGTAACATAAAACATATAAATGAATAAAATGATAAAAATAACAGAAATCATAATAACTCCAACAAGTCTATGCCCACCATTAGTTTAAACACATCACTGCAGTGGCAAAAAATAACTGTTTTGAAGCGCTCTGAAATAATAAACTCCAGAAACTACGAGAAGAGTTCTGCACAAGACGACTGTTCTGACTGAATGATCACTTTTTCCTCTGTTGTCTTAGCCTCACGCTGTCTGGTCGCTGTCAGTCAAAAATCATAACGCAGTGTTCTGCTGATTCATTCTTAATAATCACATCAAGCACCTTTTAGAACATACTTGTTGCAGTGAAGTTTTGCCTCCCTAGTATTCAATGAGAAATCACCACTGATGGAAATTCTGAACCGGCTTTCAAAAGCAGAAGCTTTTTTACGTGGCAAAGGAACAGGAACTGTGAATATATAGCTAGATTGTGTCATGATGTTACGAAGTACTAACCCAAAAATGCAGAAAACCGAACAGAGAGACCAGGGGAAATGTTTAACGGGTTTTATTGAAGAAGTAAAACAAAGAGCGAAGTGTTGCTCTGAACACTGCTCAACCGGAACTGCAAAGTGAGGGGAAGACACAGCGGTTAGTTCAGGCTCTGTGAGGAATAAGACTCGTGAAACTTGGAGAAGAGGTTTTGGTTGCCGACTCACGTTTCCACAGAAGTTGTTGCATCCTTGACTCCTGTCTGTGTGCCGTGGTTCCAGTGTTTGTCCAATTCGGTGGAGGGCGGAACAGGGTTTACCCAGAATGCGGTTGATTGTTGAAGAACGGAGAAACTGACTGCCACTCAGATTTCTTGCCATACTTAAATGGGTCGTAGTGGAGAATAATCCCTTTCTCAGTGTGAAGCTCAAACGATCTCTTGGGGAAAGTGGATCCAAACCTC